TCTGGTTTTGCTCCTCAGCACATCAATACCACCCACACCTCCAACTGCACTCTGGAATGGGATGATGGCAAGTCTGGAGTCACTTGGCACCATAATGAAACAGCCGCGATACCTTAAACTTGTCATTTGCCAATTCTGAGAGCCAGTTTACTAACTTGTACAGATAAGACACTATTATCTACACTGAAAGATTCTCATAAGAGTTAAAACATGACTGCATGGTAATACAATTCCACCTCTATCATCACAGTTAAAATAACAGAATTTGTCGAGTGCTACAGTAACAAAGGGCAACGAACTGGGTGGCTTAAGAAAGAGCAATTCATTGTATCACAGCTCTGAAAGCTAAACACCAGAGTCAGGGAGCCAGCAGGCCAAATTCCCTCTCTAGGTTCTCCTCCAGACCACCCTCCTAGTTTGTGGGAATGTCTTGGCTTGTGGCAAAATTTTAATCTTCAGATAGTATTTTCTACTTGGCCTGCTTGGTCTCTATGGCCAAAATTCCCCCTCTCATAGGACACTGGTCATATTGAATTAGGGCTTATGCTACTGCAGTGTGACCTCATCTTAAGTAATTACATCTGTACTGATTGAGAACCTAGGGCTCAGGGTTTCAAAATTCCAAATGGGGAAATCAGAATCACAGTTCAACTCAACAATTAGAGTGAGAAAACTCTGAGAGCCTAAAGATTTGACGAAATTCATTAAAGAGCGGAGGCCTCAAAGAAACCGGAGAGTGAACCATGCCTAAACGGCTCAGCCTCACTTCTAAGCTGATTGTAAAGGATGTATATGAGTTCTCTGGATAGCCATTGGAACCTACCACTCTGTTCTTCGTTCAGTCATCTGCATTTCCTTACTCAAAAAGTGCAGAAAATATGGCTGCCTCCTATCTCTCGGAACCTTATAATTGACAACTCAGAACAATGCTGCTACATGTACCAACATTAAGGTTCAGACCAGAAAGGTCTTGTACACTTGAAACAATGGCCAACACAGTGACAGGTTGCTGCTTGTACATGGAGGACTGAATCTTATTCCCGCATAAAGGTGAGAAGGGCAAAGACAGAGAGAAAAGTCTCAATGGGTACAGAGAGTTGTACTGAAGGGGACTGAGCAGGTCCTTGCACTGAGAGAGAGACACAGACAGACAGACAGATGAGATGGTGTGTTCAGGTAAGCTGTTAAAGACAAAATGCTCAGCTCTAGGCCAGTCATTAATGATTACCCTCTCTATTCAGTAACAAGGTCTAGTCTTTGAATCTACTTTCAGTGTCTGGACCTCTACAAATTAGATGTGGTTTTAAGTAAAGGAATTATAAATTATACTGACAAGGAATGTTGACAAGGAAGATATTCTTGCTCTTGCTATGAATTTTCTCAGATAAATCAAGGTCTAGATTGCTTTCAGATCAAGCCCTAGTCCAAAATAATGAAGCCAGCAATGAGAGCACTATTTCTTGAGTACTTAACGTGTTTCATTTGCATCACTATGCTGGACAGTGCTGGTGTGCGAAAGAAGAAAAAGAATCTTTTGTTAGCTCTAAAAGTAATCAAAATACAATAAATGCCATAAGCATACATGTATGCTAACTTTGCCAAATGATGAATTTATTCTAAACATCCTGTCACTTCAAACATATTAGAACAGAACTTCAGATGCAGGCTAGTTGTAGAACACTGACTTGGCATGCACAAGACCATAGGATTAAACCCTAACAAATAACAGATATATAAATAAAATATACCAAATAAAATCATTCAGGAACTACTGTAGCATGGGAATAGAAGGGAGACTAGAAGAACGTCAGAGACTCACAGAAGACAGGAAGAGGAAGCGAGAGGAAGACTAAGAGAACATGAATATGGGAAAATATAAATGTAAAACAAATTGTCCTTGTGAACCTTAATGTTATGTAAAATGAATGTAGACTTATCCAAATAAGATTTTTAAAGACAACATAAAGCACCCATCGCAGATAATTTGAGCTCTGTCTTTAATAGGTTTATCAAGTTTATCCTGGCAAAACATTATAATTAAGTCTCGTAGATATTCTATGCTTTGAACAATTATATGAGTAAGCAAGTAAATGAAACATTAGTGAATTTAGTGAATTTTAGTAACTTGGAGAAAACTTAAATTTCCCAACTCTCCTCTAGGTGGCAAACTCAGACCTCCTACACAGTACTGCATTTCCTGTGTCCTCCAGAACATGGAAAGTAGACTGAAAAGAGACATGTCTGACAACGATTCTAGTGTCAGAGCGAGCACCAACAAAAGTGCTTCCCAAAAGCTAGCTTACGTTTTACACCTTTAAGCTCACCTATCCAAACAAATCGCTATTTAAAGAAAACCATTAAGAACAATGACTGTATAAGCACCATGAAGGAGAAAACTGTGATGGATTTTGCACAGCACTGAGGCAAGAATGTTTTTAGTGCTTTCAACTGCCGTGCCCTGCTCCTAGCAGAACAGTGCTCAGAGTTCATCACTGTTACCCTGCCTGTTCATTTCCTCCTAACTATAGAACAGAGTTTTACTAAGCCTGTTATTTTAAATCAAGCCCCAAATATGTATTTTTCCCCAAACTCACTCCGAAATCAAAGAGTAAAGCTGAGTAAGCACTTAAGTGCTCTTATTCCTGCAAGTTGAATAAAGAAAAATGCGTGAGATTAAAAAAAACTCACTCAACACTTTGTTTTTATTTCCTTCCAAACCAGGATATGATTCTCTGCCTGATTTAAATACTATCCCCCAATCTCTGCTTCCCTTTGTGGTAAAACAGTCTGTATTTTCTGATACAGGAAGCAAAGCTGGAAAATATCTTGAATGTCGTGAAAGCTAAAGAGGGAGCAGGCTAAAATTAATCTACAAAGCACACGGAACAGGAACGGCGTGAATCGAAGATGCCTATCCTGTTTCTAAAAGAGGAGGCACCATGTAAGAAGAAGGGTGACATATTACGGTCCGGCAGTTACACTGTGTGCAAACAGCTCTTGTTGGGACTGGAAACCCATGCAGACGACACAAAGCAGGTAGAGTCCTGCCCAAACATGCCGGGCTAAGAGTCACCTAGCATGGGAAAGGACTGGCCGAGTGAGCGCTGAACTGGCATGGCAGCTATTACCAGCTACGCCACCTTCCAGAGTCTACTTAAGCCCTGTAGTTCTTCTTGATCCCACCCAGTGAGCTGACTGCTCAGGTTCAGGACTCCAATTAAGACTTCTAGAGCATCTAGAAATATTTCTCCAGTACACATTGAGCAAGCACTCAGGGCCGGGCCTTGTACTAGAAGTTGCGAATGGCACCAAGATGGGTAAGGCATGGTCCCCCTCCCCTTACAGACAAGTGAGGAAGCCAAATATGCACACAAATGATTGGACAAAAATAGCAGAGAGCGCTGAACTGCTGCACTGAATTTTTAGTTTGTTGAAGGCCTGCCTGCAGTCAAGTTCCTCGCATTTGGATTAATGGTAACTTGACCTAGCAGCATCCAGACATGGTGTTGCCTTCTTCTGAAATTTCAGTTTATCCAGCTTGATTGGATCTCTAAGCAATTAGGCCATGGAAACTGGCCTCAAGTAGATATGAATATCTCTGATGAAGTCAAAAGAAACACTATCCATGAAGCGAATGTGTGACTCCGTTATGAAGAGTCAGCTACAAGTAAACTAAGAAATCACCTCAATAATCATCAACAAATAAATGTAAATAAATTATAGAAGAATGACAATTTTGAAAGAATGGGGCTATATAAAAATTATATATTTTTTTGATAATAAGGCTTCTTTACTTTTTCCATTTAAGTTTGAGACAGACAGGCAAATGTTATGGCTTCTTGTTTGATATGGATAAGATATAATTTCTTCTTTAAAGATATCAGAAGTACACAGGGCATGGTATCACATGCCTTTAATCTCAGCACTGGGAGGAAGTGTGTTACAATTTTTCTTTTGTTGATATTTAAATTATTTATTTTAGCTACTAATTTTCTTCTTATTATATACAACGTGTAAAGATTTTTATTATTGGCCCTCCATGCTATTGGTTGTTTGAGACCTTTTCTCACTGTCCACCTTCACAAGCGCTACCTTCATACTGAAAGCTTTCCACTTAACTAGCGTATGTACCACGTACTTTAAATGGAAACATAGAGAAGTTCACTTGGAGCCAACTTACGAGATTAAATGGGCTGCCTGTCTGCTATCAGCCCTCACCTGTTGTTAGTCCTCATCCTGAGAGAATAGTAGAGCTAGAAAGGGGTTTTAAAGGGAGGTGGAAAGAACTGAACACCTCTTCTGTTGGCGGGAATCAAAGTTGCATATAAAATGAAGAATTTACAGTTGTTAAACCAATACCCAAAGGATGCTTAATCATACCACAAGGACACCTGCTCAGCTATGTTAATAGCAGCATTATAAGCAATAATCAGAACCTGGAAACAACCTAGTAGGACATTTATATGACGAAGAGTATTACTCAGCTGGAAAAAAAGAATGACCTCGTGAAATTTATAGACAAATGGATGGAACTAGAAAAGTTATTCTGAGTGAGGTAAGTCAGACCCAGGAAGACAAACATGGTATGTACTCACTCATAAGTGGATATTAGGAGTAAAGTATAGGATAATCAACCTACAGTCCACAGCCCCAAAGAAGGTAGTTAACAAGGAAGGCCCAAAGAGGGATGCATGGATTTACCTGGGAAGGGGAAATAGAAGAAGTCTCCTGGGTAAACTGGGGACAGGGGTGGGATGAGGAGATAGAACATGAGGGATCAGAGTTGGGTAGTCTGGGTACAGGAGGCCAGCTGGGGGTGGGACAGAGGAGGGAGTAATCAAGGTGATGTCGTGATGGGGGTGGGGCATTTGGGGATCAGGAAGAAACCTGGTGCCCGGGAAACCCCCAGGAATCCACAACAATGATGTCAGCTAAAACTCCTAGCAATAGTGGAGAGGGTGTGAGAACTGGACATCTCCTGTCGTCAGATTGGTGACTACCTTAATTGTCATCAGAGAGCTTTTATCCAGTAACTGATGGACATAGATGCAGAGATCCACAACCAAGCACTTGGGCCGAGTTCCAGAAGTCCTGCTGAAGAAAGGGAGGAAGGATTGTATGAGTCAGGGGGTCAAGGTCGTAACAAAGGAACCCACAGAGACAACTGACCTGAGCCTGCTCACAGCCTCAGAACCAACAGTTGGGGAACCTGCATGGGACCAACCTAAGACCTCTGTATATGTGTGATATCTGGGTCCTGTCTTAACTTGATGTGCCTTTGTTCACGCCCGTGGGAGGTCTGTCCCTTTCTGAATAGAGACAGAGGAGTGAATGGGAAGGGGAGTAGATGGGAGGAGGACAGACAGGAAGAGAGGAGGGAGGGGGAAATGTGGTCAGTCTACAAAACAAATGAAAAACATGTAATTAAAAAATGCAACAATGGCAACAAAAAAAAATCAGTATCTAGACCCTGTCCTGTGGCTTCTTTGTTGGAGTGATTGGTACAGTTTTCTCTTTTGGCCAAAACTGTCTGTTGAAGTAAGTTCACATCTGTAAGGGTCAAGACCCACAGGAAAATTTATTAATGAGATGAATGAATAAAATAAATTATAAATATTTATTAATAAAAATTTGTTTTATTATACTTTTGCTTGTTCTGAGTTTAGTTTTTGTGCTTTGTCGGGGGGTATTGAAAGGGAAAGAACAGATAGATAGGGAAATGAGGAGGAGTTGGAGGAAGAGGAAAACATGATCAAAGTATATCGTATGTAAAAAAAATGCTATAAAAAAACCACTATCACTCTCATGAGCCAAACTCATCTCTAGAAATGAGGTGGAATTACACAACAGAAAGTCACTGTGACCTACGCAGGATGTGGGGCTCAACCCGACAGCACAGAAAAGCTGGTGGCCTTTCACACAGGCAGAGAAACAGCCACTGTGCTTGCAGCAGCAAGCTACAAATGGACAGGTGCTCCCTCTGGCACCACAGGTGGAGCCTGAGACTCTCAGACTTCCCACTCACGCTGAAAACATCCAGAAGGGAGAGATGACAGGATTCAGCGATGTGCAATTCATTCTGGAGTATGTTTCCTGGTCCAGATGAAAGCACTTTAATTATGAACCAGGAAAACAGTTCCAAGCGCCTTCAACACTGGTCAGTGGAATGTAAATGTAAGCCATTTAGTTAGGCAACAGTCACCTAAAATTCTTATTAGGATGCTAAACTAAGGGTGATAGTAACTATAGCTACCATTAATTATACAGCTACTAAGTACCATTCGCTTTGGTAGGGTTACGGAGGTCACTCTTAAGCAGGCTTTATTATTTTAGCTGTACAAAGAAGAAAATGTGATCAAGTTTCAAAACAAAATAGACCAAAAGAAACTCCCAAAAGAAACAGGTCAGAGGGACTGGGATCTAGCTCAGATGGTAGCTGCTACTTAGTATTCGGATCATTGGGAAATCCCAGAAACCACTTTAAGCCTCAATATAAACCAGAAAAAAAAAATGAAAAGATTGCTCCCTGGATGCAGGAGGATGCACTGATACAGCACCTCAGTACCTAACAAATCACCTGGCACCTGATAGGCTGTCTTGGTACCCAGCGAACAAGTTAGGTCCCACCGTGCCTCTTCAGGCTCCTGTGAGACTGGTCAGCTGGTACTCATTACTGGAGCATAAAGCGTCTCCCTACAAGTCCACCTGGTAACACGCGTGGGACAGCCACCTACTGTGGACACAAAACATCCCTACCCGGGAAAGCTTGCTTCAAAGTTTCTAATCAAGTCTGGTACCAGTTGCAAAGAATTGTTACACTATGAGATGCTTTTGTGGACAGGCTTGTTTTTAATTAGGAGGGTTTTTATTGGGGAGGCAGGTTTCAGGGTGAGTCGGGCTTGTCAGCACTTGTAGAAAGCGTCTATAGCGCGCCTCGTTTGCATATGTGCCTTGAGAAGTTCTGTTATTAAATCCTGCTGGCATGCGGTCTCGGTCTTGTGATCCCATCTGTTTCAGACACACGTCTCCCCCAGCCTGCTCTATCCTGCCGCCGATCAAAACTTCAGCCTGGTGCAGGTGGAAAGTAAACATTCGGCAAAAGAAAAATAGTGCTAGAAAAACTGGGGCGGAGGAAGATGACACAAAGCGTAGACAACATTTCCCCACAGTCACTGTGAAAGCATCTTTGTTGGGGGTGTGGAGGGAGGGTACCTGCAGGAAAAGTCACTCCCATCCAACTCAGCATGTGATACTGATCAGCACCATCAAGTTCCTGCAGAGGAACAGAGAGAGAACATAAGAATGTGACAAGGGCTCCTTAAAGAACAAAGCCACTGTGCCTCCGTGAGAAAAATGAGAACTCAGGGTGGCAGGGACAGCGATGAAGCAACTTCAAGATGATTCAACAGCCGAACCCTCACTAGCACCACCTAGGTGTGTGCACCATGGGAAGCCCTAGCAGGGCATCTGCAGAAACCAAACTACAGGGGACATTTTGCCAGTGCAGGAATCTACTCTGTGTGGGCTCCCTTTCCGGGTTTAGCTGTTCTGTTAATTAAAAGAACAGGAAGGCACAGAGCACATAACAAGAAAGAGGGAAGGAGATGGTGGGAGAACAGGAGAAGGGGCAAAGATGTCGAGCGTCAGCTGTGGTCACTAGAGCTACTAGAGCTGCGTTCCCTGGAGCCTGAGGCCTGGGGCCAGGACTGTTCGCTTCCCGCTTCCACTGCAACCCTTCTGACGACAGTGTGGACTAGTATTATATTGCCAATAAAAAGTTGTTCCTTCTCCAAGAATAAAAAACCAAAACCTACTGTCATGAAACATCTGTGAGCTGCTGAAAGGGTTCTGGGGCATCTCCACTGGGGCCACCGAGTCATCACGGTTGATCTCTCACAAGGCTATAGTCAAGGGGTCTCAGCCGAGGGTTGTCTCAGGGATGAATGACGGGCAGGATCCATTCCCTTGAGGGATGTCAAGCTGAAGGCCTGCATGCTGCTGTCTGCTGTCCAGACACTTGATCATGTCAGGTAAAACCTCTTGATCACGTCAGGTAAAACCTCTGCCACAGCGGCTTGCCTAGCAAAGCCTGAAAGAGTCTTCTTAAGATGGAATGATAAAGACTTCGGGCCAGCCACATTCAGAGAATCCGGCCAAATTCCGAGAATCTGGTTGGATCACGTCCTCGTTCAGTCCCAGTCCAACTGGCCTTGGTAAACTCTAATTAGATCCGTCCCCTTGTATCAGTGGGTGATATGACACTGGGACTTGTTTCCTCTGCATATACTGGATTTTGGGGATCCAGTCTGTTTGGATGCTCACCTTCCTGGACCTGGAGGGAGGGGGGAGGAACTTGAACTTCCCACAGGGCAGGAAACCCTGACTGCCCTAAGGGACGAAGAGGGAGGAGGAGAGGGAGTGGGGAGAGTGGGAGGGTGTTGGGAAGAGGGGCAGAAATGGAAACTTTTATAATTTAATAAAATTACTTTCAAAAAAAATAAAAATAAAAATAAATAAAAAATTAAAAAAAGATGGAATGATAACATCTTTGCAAACTCATCAGGGAAGCGGCATATTCTCAAGGCTGTCATGTTCCATTCACGGCACCAAAGTTACTCAAGTGGGGGTGATTACAGGCCAAGAGTTAGAGAGGCTGGCAGGCGGAAACAGCTCAGCTGCAGAAATCCACTCTGGGGGTCACGGCTTACTCATGTCTTTATGTCTGGTCTATCTTTAAGTTATTACAAAACTCCAAAATTCTCAGGTCTAACTGTATACAAGTTGACCTTTAGTTCTGAATTTTCCTTCCTTAATGGAGCTGGTGGCAGAGTAGGAGCACTGGGTCCTTATAGAGAAGGCATGGGACATGGGCAATCTGGTCGTCTATTGATCATAACATTTTACCCATCAGTCTGATTTGCTCATTTGTGAAGTTAGATAGTGATGTCATGCCAGCTTACCTCAAGGAGACACACAAGGGAAGGAAAGTAAGTCGGTATTTTCCAAAGCATAGATTAACACTGGAGTTCCTGAGCCAGCCCTGGGTGATGCATGGACTACAGGTGGAATGTTGGGGTGCGGGAGTGCAGGGAGGGAGACAACTTCTCACCCAGGTTGCCTTTGAACTCACAGTTCCTCTGCCTCAGTTTCACAAGTGCTTGGCGACAGGTATCCACCATCACAGCCAGCTCACAAGTTGATTAAGGTATGAGTTGTGGAACACATCAGTCAAATATGATATGCCCAGAAAATCCATCCACAAGCTTACAGATAAAGTTTCTTAAAGTGAGGCGAGAGAGGTTTAAGGAGGTGAGTCACTATGGAGAAAAGTACTTAGAAAATAACCTTAAGTGTTTGAGATCGTGTGTTGGTCTTGCAGAGGACCCAAGTTTGGTTCCAAGCACCCATGGCAGGTAGCTCACATTCACTCTGCATTTCTAGGGGGTTCTGATGCTTCTGGCCTACAGTCCTCTGCATTCAACATGCATGTCCGCGTGTACACACACACACACACACACATACACACACACACACACAATTTTAAAATAGCTTAATAATTTTTAAAAAGTAATGAGAAGAAAATAACAATAGTGGTCTGAGAATTTGACAAATGTGGTGGAGCAATACAGTGACTGTGTAAAATATAAATACACTCTATAAATACACTAATTACTTAGTCATTGCGCTTCATGAGAGTGGTTTAAGAAAGTATCTGGACATGTTTTGTTACTAGTACAGCAAACTTAACTGCACTTGCTTGCTTAAAAAGTGATTATTTGATGAACTGAACAGATAGCTCTCAAAAGAAGAGATACAAATGGCCAATAAGTACATTAAAAAGTACTATACGCTTATCCAGAAAAGAAATGCAATAAAACTACACTGGTTTGTTCTCATCCTAGTCATAATAAAAATCAAGAAACAAACGACAAATTCTGGCAAACATGCAAAGCAAAATGAACACTTCCGCATTCTACGGGGGGAAGGGAAATTGATGCAGCCACTACTGAAATCTGTGCAAAGGTTCCTCCAAAACTGAAAAATAAAGCGTTCCACATGATCTTGCTCCGTACCATCCCTGGGTATACACACAAAGGAATCAAAGCCAGCTCACCATGAAAATACCTGCCCACCCCATCTATTGTAGACAAGCTGTGAAGTCAGCCTACGTGCTCACCAATAAATGAATAAATGATTATTTGCTTTGCTTAGCTGACAAAAAAAAGGGTTCATTGTGATGTCTTCACACATATATATCATTACTCCTTGTTCTTATTCACCCACCCACATGCCATTCCACGCTGTACATCCCCAGTCCTGCTGCTCACTTACCCCACCAATGGTCCCCATTCTTCTGCTTTCATGCTGCACGTCATCCATGATCATTTGCTGCTCCCCACTGCCTCCCAGTGCTCTTCCTGCCTCACATCCTACACACACACACGTGTTTAAACCGAGATTCCACATGTGACAGGCTTTGACTTATTTCATATAGCACAATGATCTTCAGTTGCATCCAATTAACTGTAAATATCATAATGTCATTCTTCTTCAAGGCTGAATGAAATTCCATCGTGCGTACGGGCCACACCGTCTTTACTTATCTACTGATCGGAATGTAGGCTCCTTCTCTAGCCTGGCTATTGTAAATACGGCAGCAAAGCACTCATCTCTGTGGTGTGCTGACACAGAATCCTTCAGAAATATACCAAAGCGTGGCATGGCTGGGTCATATGGTTGTCTTATTTTCAGTTTTTTGAGGAAGCTCCATACTGCGTTCCACGGTAGCTGCACCAGTTTACGTTCCTACAGGCATTGGGCAAGAGTTCAGTTTCTCTACATCCTCATTTGCTGCTTGTTTTCTTGATGGCAGCCATGCTGACTGCCATGAGTTAAGAGTCCCAAATCAGCTCTGATAGACATGCTGGCTACATTTCTCACTGTGTGACCTCCCTGCAAGCAAGATACTTCACTGTGCTCCCTAAACGCTTGATGACCTCTTGGACCGCCAAGTCTCCAACTCAAAACCAGATTGCATCTCCCTCTTTTTCTGTATGAATGTAGTTTTGACTGAAAGCAAATACTTTACATGGCAGAAACAACTAAAATTCACTAATTCCCCTTCACGAAGAACTTTGAGTTTATGTCTTTGGATCCAGAATTTTAAAGATTTGTGAGTGGAATGGCACCATACAGAAACCAATACTTTTTATAGTCAGATTATCTATAATCCACTTTATAATAGAATATATTGCAATTTGAATCATGAATCACAATTCTCATTTGAACAGTGTGATATTAATATCACAACATTCAAATTTTGGTGATTACAAAGTGAGCTAAATTAATACAGTGAGCACAATAAAATGGGAGTTAACATACCTGAAAACTGATCCCTGAACTATTTCTGGCAGGATACTGACTAAAATAGAAGGGTTATTTTTCCATTGCATTTCTGTTTTCACCCAACCCTGGAAGAAGACCAGCTTCCAGATGACACGGGCAACAACAGGTGTGTGCTTCAGTGGCATGTTTACAGTGACTTCTAAAAAGTCATGAGGGGGTGGGGAGAGCAGAGACCAGAGGGGAAGCCAGACTGTGACCACCAATATTCTCTTACATTCTTTGGGAAGCAGCACAGTACTGCAGAGAATCCAGACCTGTGAAATTCAGACCAGTTCCTTTCTGGCTAGATTTGGATCAAACATTCTATTAAGAATCCCATTCAGATGAACTTCAGATAATATGGTCAGGACCTCCTCTGTACTGTGTGATTATCATGATATTCTTTCAGAGACTCCTGTTCCTCCCCCTCTTCTCTCTCTCTCTCTCTCTCTCTCTCTCTCTCTCTGTATCCCTTGCTCTCTCTATCCCTCCTCCTTCCCTTCCTCCCTCCCTCCCTCCCTCTCTCTTTCTCCTTCCTCCATTCCCTTCCATCTGTCTTTCACTAATAAACCCGGGGTAGAACATGAAAATATTCTTTTCCCTAACTATACTCTATCAGTGGTTTTACCACTCCAATGGGGGATTGAGGGAACAAAATATGGTAATTTTCTAATTCTAGAACTCACTCTATACTAGGTCCTACACTTTTGAAAGATTCCCCCACCCCAGATCTTTTCTCAAATTTAATGTAATTTAAATTGCATCCTCATTACTTATGTTAAAATCGTTCCAAATTAAGCCATTTGAAAAGTTCATCACAATCAGCAACATAGTTTCCTGAGCATAGTTAACACATGTTTTTGAGATGAGGCCTCACTGTGAAGCCTCAACTGGCCTATAATTCACTGTATAACCCAAGGAAGGCCTTAAATCAAAGGAATCTTCCTGCCTCAATCCCCTGAGTTCTGGGATTTTAAGTATGCACTACTCTGGCTGACTAATATTTCTTTGATAATTTTTTCTTTTCTTTTTTTTTTCAGTTTTTTGATTTTTCAAGACGGGGTTTCTCTGTGTAGCCTTGGCTGTTCTGGAACTTGCTCTGTAGATCAGACTGGCCTCAAACTCACAGAAATTTGCTTTCCTCTGCCTCCCAAGTGCTAGAATTAAAGGCATGCACCGCCACCACCCCCTGGACTGCTAATTTCAAGTACTAAAGTAAAAGCAGCATGCCAGATGAAAATTCCTGAATTTGCTGCACATGTTTTTGTTAACTCTTGATTTTAAGTAGCTCGCCACTTTCATTTCAGCGTGGTCTAGGTTGACGACCACATCAAAGGCTCTGAGATGAGGGTGTCAGGGTTAAAATTCTAGAACTGCTGCCATCATAATGATACTGAACTCTGGCTTACCATGCTCTGGTTGAAGCTTTCACTTCGACTATGCCTTGGTTTGTGACGACATCTAGATTTCTCACTATTGGATGCTCGAGTATTTTCTAATCGACAAACAACAAAATCAAAAGAATTTAATGCTGTCTTCATTTTCGAACCAAGTTCTGCTTGTTGAAAGCTTTAGCCCTGCCAAGGTTTTCTCAGATGTGTTGTCATTTAGAAGTCAACTTAAAAAAAATATTAAGATAACGGTCTTATTACTTACTTCCTATATAATATAAATATTTTAATGACGATACATGATCGGATACTCATTTCTTACAAGCCAATCTTAGCCTGTTTTATTGCAAGTATAAAACATGGAGGGTGTTAAATGATATGCAAACTTTTTCCATTTTCACATTCATTATTTGGGGGGAAGTGTGTTATGATTAACTTTACAGCAGAAATGACTGTCTGTGCTAGACCATAAAACCCAAAGGGCCCTGCTGCGCTTGGCTTGGTGGGGGTGTGGCTGTTGTCCTTTGTCACTGGCGAGCTTCGAAGACTTCGAAGAGTGTCTGAGGTATGACGGGCACTTAACAAACACTTGTTGATGACTGTTAGGTGAAATGAACAACCAACAGACCTGTACCCCATTGTACTTGAACTCTATATGCTCGCTTTAGAGAATGAGCTCCATGGCTAAGACATGAAGTGATATAATTAATAAGCAAGTTATTCCATGTAAGAGTACAATATACCACGTGCGCATCGGAAGGAGTCCAAATCCACCCAACACGGCTGAGGGGAGTAGGACATGTATAAGGCATGGCCTCAGTGCTGAGAGGGAAGTAACTGTCCCCTAGAGGTGGAAAACTCCTGACTTTGCTAAATAGTATTTTGATTCCATCTCTCGTTACCAATACCTCATTTAAATGTGGTCTTTCCAAAATAGGCATATTATGGGGCATTATTTTTTTTTTTTGGCTGTAGCAATCATTTCGAGACCATACTTGCCCCAAGGCCCATGCTACTGAATTGTTAACAACTCCTTGGATGCTCATATTGATGAAATTATATATAATTATCCTGAGTTAAGAACCAACTAAGTGTTGGGAGGTACGGACACTTTCCTTTAATCCCAGTACTCAGGAGGCAGAGGCAGGAGGATCTCCATGAGTTCAAGGCCAGCCTCATCTACACAGTAAGTTTCACGACAGCCAGAACTACATGGAGAAACCCTGTATTGAAAAAAAAGAAAAAAGAAAAAAGAATTATGTTTCATATATAAAGACAAGGACCAAGACATATAGTGACCAACATAGAAGCGAAAATGTTCCACCAACACCCCGATTGTGGTTTTTAAGTATTATTTTCTACTCAAAAGAAATTGTTGGTAATAAGTATACAACAGGAAGTGTGCAAGATTAACACTAGAACACACTATCAGAAATCAGAGATTTTAAGCAAGACCATTGGCGTCATGCCAAAAGAATTCAGGAACCAACATACAAAGGACCAACGACAGAGCTCACACATCAGCAAGAATTCCACAGGATTGAAGCAAACTAATTAAATCTATAACAAACTTCAAACCATTAATCATTTTCAGAATATGCTAGAGATAACTCATCATCTTGAAAACTTACGAGTGAGTCAGAAAATACTTTAGTGCTTGTCTTGACTTTCTTGGATGATGATGACCAAGCAGTGGTGAAGAGCAGGTCCTCTTTCAAGATAGTCCCACTGCAAAATGAAGACAATAAAGATAGCAGTGTTCCTCAGTCCCCTAAAGAGAAGACTGATGACCCGAGAGGGGTGCACGCCTACACTCTCAGCATTTAGGAGGCTGAGACAGGGAGGTCAAAGTTTAAGGCCAGACTGAGCAACTTTGTAAGACCCTGTCTCAAAAGCCCAGAATAGGAAGGAGAGGGAAAGAAGGAAGAAGAACATGATAACATAAAAAAAAAACAAAAAGTGGGATATATGAATCCTGCAATAATTATTACCAACTATGGAATAGAGAAAATCAAGCCTCCTAAAGAGGAGGTGGGTTGTATATAATTTGAAGAGTCTCAGAGATGATTCTGCACTTCCTTCTTGCCTCACTAGGAAGCCCTGTACTTGAATACACAAATGATACCGTTTTGTCACTGCTTCTCTCGGCCGCTTACCTAATTCTAGTCACACTTTTATAGTAAGTTCGTATCCAGTGTCACGATCTGTAACATAAATATCCCCAGTGACCTGCATGACAGACAATACTGGAACTACTTTTACCCATTCCCTCTTGCCGGTCTCCAAACTTCAAGCCAGTTTATCATTTAGTTTGTCTTCCTCCTCACTTACGAGCACTCCACTCGACCAGGCTATGGCTGAAAGACTTCCGCTGAAGCTATGTTTCAACCCTGCTTCATCTCTCGCTGGGTCTGAGTCACAAACATGAGGTTGTCCTTCATCCTGAAGGCAGTTGGGCTCCAGGGACAGATAAAATGCCTAATTATCTCAGTCTGTTGTCCAAAACAAACATATTACCATATCAGTCTTACATATGCAATACCATCACTCAAGTCTATTAAGGGTGTGCTATGGTGTGAGCTACCTGAAAAATATATAGTTTGGAAAACAATTGCTGGCCATGTTCCTGCTTCTTTCCTGTTGAGCCTACCACAGCTCCTGCCCTACACTACTTAGTGTAAAGGGCAGAGGCTCTGAAGCCACACAGGTTAGATCCCACCTCCATGATTAAGTAATATGCAAGTTACTTATTTCTCTGATTATTTTGTCTTATCCGGAAAATTGCAACCTGAGTGTATGTTACATAGGAGTTTTATGGAGGTGGAATGTAATACTGCTTTGAAAGCACTTGGAACAGGAAACAGAATAAGTTTTTGTTTGTTTTCCTTCTTTCAAATCAGTGAATATAATTCTTTATAGAGATAATAGTAAATAACACACTAATATATGGAAAACAAGTTGAGCAGGTTTTTAGGGGAAAAGCCCATTGAGTTTCCTCATAGGATGTTCCCTGTTATCTTGCTTGTGCTTTTAAAACAAGGTCTTGCCCTGTAGTCCAGGCTGGCCTCAAACTTGCCACAATCCTACTGCCACAGCCTCCCAGAAGTTGAGATTCCAGGTGGGGGCGGGGTGGCAATAAACCAAGATTTGGCGCCCTTCAGTTTTGTCTGCTACCGGTAAGGACCACCCAGACTGGCGGGACAGGCTGGCGCTGTCCTTGGTGCTGGTAGCTACAATAGCGCGCTCCGTAAGCGTTGCCCCTACCCCAAATGCTTTTTCTTCCACTGGACGAGCAAAGCTCCCATTTCTTCCTCATGAAAAATTCCCAGTCATTCTGCTCATTTGCTTTTTTCCTGTATTACTGTGATTTTCTTGTGTTCCCTTTAAAGGAAAATAATTCTTTTTATTTTCTTATTTATAAATGGCTTAATCCCCACAACATCCTTAAAAGACAGACTTCTGGCGCTAGAAAGATGATTCAGTGGGTAAAAGAGCTTGTTGCACAAACATGAGAATCGGAGCTCAAATCACAGAATCTGCATAAAAACGATGAGCATTGTCCAGCTCACAGCTGTCACCACAGTGTTGGGGGAGTGGGAAGGGCAGAGACAGAATCAGAAGATCTTCCAGTCTTGCTGATCACCAGAATGGCTCAAGGTTCAAAGAGGGACCCTGTCTCAAAGCAATAAGACCCGACACTTAGCATTCTCATCTGGCCTCCACGTGAACACACACACATACATGTGCTCATATACCAAACACACACACACACACACACACACACACACACACAAAGCCTGCTTGTTACATTTAACTGTGGATTAAATTTCAGAGTAGCAAAGTTTTACTGGTAAAAATATCCTAGACTGAGTCTATTTGCTTCACACCCATTAATATCAACCTGCTGGTTTAGTATTTCCACTTGCTAGCAAACCCCAATGCCATTCATTCCAGAAGCTCAGATTTCCCACTATCCGTCATTCTTCCTCTCTCCTGTTCTACCTGGGGAACACCTGTGACAGCAAATATATTTTGGGCTGGTTCCCAAGAAAAAAAGTAGAAACAGTTTATGCACGTCTCACCCAGAAGGATACTTTATTTCTCTGCCGAAGACTAAGAGTTAAGCAGCAACAACAAATAGTACTTCATGGGGAATCTCACAAAGGGGTACCAGAAGATGTGTTCTAAAGCCTTTGGTTTCTAAAAATAAAACACTTAGCCTCCCTTGAAGGTTGTCCTCATCAGCACTCTGAACCTGTTTTAGAAATAAGAACTGTCCAGTCATCCTCACGTACCTCCCCAGAGCTGTTTGGCAACAGGCATACAGCATGTGGCTCTCTTCCAATTCCACTGCAGCATCAGTTGTAACATTTTAAATCTGTAAAATAGCATGTTCCTTCGAACTTCCCTAGGAAGATTAGGGGGAAATGCAGCACTTGATCTTTACATCTTCAGAGAAGGGCTTAATGACAGGTTCAGCCTGTTTAATGACAGGCCCAGCACCACGCCCGTGTTTTATTGTTTCATTATTCCTGCGTAAATGCCCTTTATTACACATGATAACTAAAAATCAAATACTGGCTGAGGTGGGTTAAAACAGGTAAGAGGGCAAACTAAGCTATACGGTGTACACGTGGAACTGGACCTTCGGGGTTTTGGAAGGAGGCCTGGCTAGTTACACACTGGTGGTCTTTGAACTTCCAGACGCCAGGGACCCTCCTGTCTCAGCTTCCCAAGTAGCTAAGACCACGTCCAGGGATCTTATTTTTAAGACCTACTTTTGTGTGTGTGACGTTATCTCTGTCTCTAAAACATTACTTTTTTTTTTTACCTTCAGAATTACAACCACAGCTCAAAGGGGAAAAAAATGTAAAAACACGCAAAACAGGATTCTTGGAATGTTTTACTATTATTTTCTGGCTGACTAAATAGTAAGACATGGCCAACAGAAAATTGCTCTATCTGTCGCAAGGTGTGAAACTCATTAAATTCAGATACCGCCTAGAGACGAACTAGCCTCGCATGTCACTTTCAGACATCTTCAGAAAGTGGGATTTTTTTTTTCCCTAAAGACTTTCTTTTGACCTCGATTGCAAGGGAACGATTAACGTCTCCAGAGCGAAACCCGCAGGCCTGAACTAAATAAACGCCTCTGCTCCGCCTGCTGGGTGCAGAGGCTCAGCTTTTTCAAAAACAGCCAACCCACCGTGTTGCGGTACGGACGCGAGAGTTCACTCTTCTGCGCATGCCTCTAGGACCTCAAGAGGTGGGCGGTGTCGGACGAGGGGCGTGGTCGGAGGGGGCGGGGCCGGCGGCGGTGCAGCTCATCAGCCGCTGCTCATTGCCCTCGGGCTCCCCACCGCGCCCTAGTCGCCTGTGCCGGCCCTGCGGTTCCCAGGCTCTGGCGCTCGAGCCCGTGCGCTCCCAGGACAGGCACGGACGCTGCTGGCTCCTCGGGGAGCGGAGGAATCGCTCACGGACCAGGCTGCTGCAGTCTTACGGCAAGCGGAGGACCATCCTTGTCGCTCCTCGTCGCGGCTGCGAGAAGAGGACAAGGACATGCTGGGCGGCGGTAGTGACGCGGGCCTGGCCACCGCCGCCGCGCGGGGGCAGGTGGAGACGGTGCGGCAGCTCCTGGAAGCCGGCGCAGATCCCAACGCCGTCAACCGCTTCGGGAGGCGCCCAATTCAGGTAGCGGGGAACCCCGGGGCCTCGCCGGCAGGGGGCGCACGAGCGCGGTGCCCTCCTCGGCTGCGAGTTGTGACCGCGCACCACCTGGGCAGCTGGCTGGTGCTGGACGTGTGCGGCCCAACGGGAGGCAGGTTTTGAAAGAGCAAAAGCTCTGAAAAACAAAAAATAATCGAAAAAAGCCCACTACACTTGCGTGGCTTTTTCTTCGTTTTGAGATGCTGGGTCTGGAACCCACGACTCCATACATGCTGAGCAAGTGCGCTACCCTTGAGCAACGTCCCCAGCCTCCGGATCTTTGTATTGGTGGGAAAAATACCAATATTTATTCTGCCATCTTACAATCACAGATAGAAGGCCGACATTCGGGGAGCTAAGTGGGAAAGGAAGGGTCAGGCAGAGGACGACACGATAAAGATGCGTAGATAGATTACCAGTTACACGACCTGGATTCAAGGAATTCCACAGAATTGGTAGTATGGAGGGAGAGCATTCACTGAAAACTTGTAAACAACGGTATAGATATTTTCTTTTTTTTTCCCCCTCAAAAACCAAAACGCATTCACAGGACTAAGGATTTCCCAAACCCAGCACTTAATTCCCTGTATGCGGACAGTGATATGGTGTAGTTTTTCACTGTTTAATGCGAACAGGCAAAGTGCTCCCTACAGAACTGTTGGGTCCTTTCAGAATGACAAGGCAGTCCCCTAAACATTCTCTTAATTTGTTCAGTGTTTACTAATCCCGCTTTAATTAGTGTTGACTCTATTTCTTGACGATCTAACACAATGGTTTTGTAGTCTGTTGATTATTACAGCGGTCTTTGTTGTTCACCTCCATCCCTCTCTGGGACTAAGGAAACAAGGGCTCTTGTTAACAGTGTGGATTTTTAAGAACATAAGTATTCATCATTCTTGAAATTTTAGGGAAAAAAAAGAGGTGTTTAACAAAAGAATATTTTCAAGCAACAAAAACATTGTAGAGTGATTATAAAGACCTTATAGAAAAGATTTTCTTACAATCTTATTTTCTGTATTGAGAACTTTTAAATCTTCCTTTTGTGGCTGTAAAAATAGCCTTTACCTCACTAAAAGAAATAATAAAATTGGTATATTTCTTGAATGTTTCTAATGTTCATGTGATTAAAAGCTGACACATGACCACTGCCAATCACTACACGTAAATTTCTAAGCCCATAGACCCACAAGAACCAGTAACTGTTTAGGACAATTAGATACCAAAAATTGTTTTATTATTAATTTAATATTTGTATAGCATACAAAATAGCTGCTGTGGGATTACATCTCCAAAACATTGGTTTTTTTTTTCCTAACATATGCATCTTTGTGGTTTAATAGCTACCAAGTCAAGCTTTTTATAGTCTTTTTATTTAGAAAAATGCTTCTTAGCATTAAATTTTCATACAATGTAAATGAATGTCGATTTCATATTTCAATGGATTGCTCTAAACTTTCCACTGTATGTCACACTAGGTTTAAGATGTTATAAGATGCTAAACATTTACAACAAATAATTTGTTTCTGTAATGTGTAAGAAGCTTGAAACATGGCAACTTTCCTCTGATCTCCACTTCTAGCTTAAATGATGAGTACGGTTTGTGCGGTTTGTACGCACAGACCTTTGACACTGAAAGAGCAAAACCTTTTTTAAACTGACTTGTGTTTTGTTTCCTCCTTTAAAGCACTGTTCTAACTTCTAAAACAGAGTAAGCAACAGTGGAGTACCTATTGTACATGGTGCCAGTGTACTTTCTGTTGCTGTGCTGATAACCACAACCAAAAGAAACCTGGAGAGAAAGGGGGTTGTTTGTTTAAATGCTACAGTGCGTCCCATAGAAGTCCGGGCTGGAACTGAAGAACCTGCTTCCTGATTTGCTGCGCAGGCTCCAGTTTAGCCCCCTCTCTGACATCTTCCAGGGCCACCTACGGGTGGGGCACACCTAGAGCAGACTGCCCCCCCATATCTACCATGAGTTAAGAAAATGTCCCACAGACTTGCCTACACAGGCCAATCTGAGGGAGGCTTTTCCCAGCCTAGATTCCTCTTCCCAAATGACTAGCTTGTGTCAAGTTGACAAACCAACAAGCATATATGGTTAGACATAGAGGGATAAAGAAAGCAGACAAAAAAAAAAACAAAATAAAACTTTAACAAGCTCTGGTGTCCTGCCTGCAAGTTATGCATGCTGGCTTGTGGGAGTAATCCACCAATACCTGATTTGACTAAAGGCCCACTCCCCAACACTTCTTAGGCAACCAAAAACCAGAACAAAATAGTCCCCGGTCCTAGGGGGACACCAAATAGTATTGTTTCAAAATAAAAAGCACTAAAATGAGTCATACTGACATCCTACTGTACTCATCGGTCCGTGCCTTGCTCAGCCGAGCTTCCTCCTGCAGCAGATGGGAACAGATAGAGACCCACAGACAGACATATGCTGAGCTCGAGAGACCCCATGCCAGTGTTTCCACCAAACCCCTCCCCTCAGGGCTCAGGGAACCCTGCAGAAGAGGGGGCTGAGAGAAAGAAAGAGCCAGAGCAAAGCTCATATGAGCTCAGGGAGACTGAGGTAGCATGCACTGGGGTTGCATGTGTCTGCACCAGGTTCTCTGTGTATGTATGGCTTCCGGCTTAGTAGTATTTTTAAGAATCCTGTGCAAATGAGTGGCTCTCCTGGGCTCTTTCCCTTCTGTTTGTTTTGTCCAATTCCAACATTTTAGTTTTTGTTTTGTTATATTTTATTTTGTTATTATTATCCCTTAGAAGCCTGGATGTGTTGTTTTTTTTTTTTTAACAAGAGATAGAAAGGGCATCAGTCTGGATGAAGGAAGGTGGAGAGGGGCTGGGAGGAGTAGAAGGAGGGAAAACAATCAGGATAAATTATGTGAAGGAAAAAGTCTGTTTTCAATAAAGGGGACAAATAAAAGACAAATAAGACGCCCGGTTCAAACTGAGCTAAGTCACTTAAGATAAATCCCTCTAGCCCAGTGTTCCATGTTACAAATAAACAATTCATCTGCACTTTCCCGTTACTTTACCTGTGGAGAATAAAATAGAATCTATTTTGATTTCAGCCTAAACTTTAGCGGGAGTGGATTACGCAAGGCGAATGAGAAACCAGACACCTGAGGCTTGCCATCCCCTCAACCCCCACCCACTCCCGCTACCCAGCCAGACTCACCCGGAGCACTCTCTTCCTCTCCAGGTCATGATGATGGGCAGCGCCCAGGTGGCAGAGCTGCTGCTGCTCCACGGAGCAGAACCAAACTGCGCCGACCCCACCACTCTCACCAGACCTGTACACGATGCCGCTCGGGAGGGCTTCCTGGACACGCTGGTGGTGCTGCACAAGGCAGGGGCGCAGCTGGATGTGTGTGACGCCTGGGGCCGCCTGCCGGTGGACCTGGCTGAAGAGCGGGGCCACCACGATATTGCGAGGTATCTGCATGCTGCCAGTGGAGACTGAAGCCAGGTTCCTCAGCCTCCTGCAAGGACTTTTTCTCACCCCAGCACCGTGTAGACAGACTGCAAGCATGAAGGGAGCTGTGTACAGCCTGCAAGACTTCCAAAACTCAAAGCCTATCCAGGAAGGCAAAGCCAATCACAATCAACTTCCTAAGTGCTTTGCTGCATCTGGATCTGGTCCCCTGCCCTCACCCTGAAGCCAAAGGGATCACCAATTCGATTTCATATTGTGTGAAGTTCCCGGAGCTCGGAGGGGCTCGTTACCCTTCAAGGCGTGGTGTAAAATAACGGGAAGTTCTTGAATCTCCACAATATGACGTTGTAGTGGGACGTGGGAATTGCAGACATTTGGAGGGAGCTGTCAGTACCTCCCCAGGTGAACTCCAAATGCAAATGGTTCACAGGCTAGGGGGGAGCCCTGGAGACTAGATGAATACCACGGAAGTGCACCTGTGCTGGTGATGATTCACCTGCAAAATGGCATTCCGTAGAAACTGAGGGCTCGCCCCAGCACCACCAGGAAGATAGTGTAAGGTGGCAGCGGCTCTCTGTTGAACTCTGTGAACCATGGCTTGCCGCTCTGGTTCCTGACAGACTCAACCTACACAAAGTCCAGTGGTGAAGCTCGTATGTAGCAACTTGCTCTATGTAAAATAGTTTAAGAACCCCTTTAGGCGTTTCCTACCTTTGAGTTCTTTAGTAACAGTGTATTTAATGAGTTACACTTTTAACAGTGTAACTTCTGGTCCTCAGCAGAGGTGAGACTGAAGTGCCACTTGTTATTGTATGGTTGTTTTTTGTTTTGTTTTGTTTTGTTTTTCTTCCCTTCTTTCCTTCTTTTTTAAGGCAGCATTTTCCTCTGTAGCTCAAGCTAACCTCAAGTCAGGGTACCCCTGCTTTAGCCCCCCAAGTACTGGGCTGGTAGCAGGCACCCCTTCTGTAGTACAGCGTCTTAGTCAAACTATGACACGTGGTAACTCCTAGTGGTGACGCACACTCTGCTTTCGTCCTTGACCTGTTTATTTCTCTGATCTTTGCTTCCTATATAGTGAGTGTCTCAGGGGGAGCTATTCTAGGTGCCCTTTTAAATGACACATGCACCTGTCCTATCCAGCTACCGTGGGCTACTTCCTAGAGGTTAGGGAAAAGGTAGAGTATGAACTTACTGAAATTAAATGGCAGCTTGTGGGCTGCCTTGCTTGTTACTGAACAAACTGTGGAAACACTCTGTGCGGCTTCCATTGTGGCTTTGTTCATTACAGCATTGAAATGATTGATTCATTCTTGTTTTAATAAAGAATAAACAGTATAGATAGACTCCAAGATGTGAATAATCTGGCGGTCAGGTCAGGTGGCTCAAAAGCACCACGTTCAACTCCAGCGCCAAGGAAGTTCCATACCTCTGCCTCCACAAGCACCTTCATTCATGTACACACACACACACACACACACACACACAATTTTTTAAAAAGCTAAAATAAATCTGGGGCCTGGAGCGAGGTCTCAGTGATTAAGAGCCATTGTTGTTCCTCTAGAGGACTCATTTAATTCCCAGCAACCATATCAGGCCCAGAATATTATGACCTCCACAGGCACATATACATGGCAGACACTCGAATGTTCACGCAAATTTTTTAGAAAATTAATGTATTTCCATGGGCTTACCACTAACTCACAAATGTTAAACGATTCAAAAGTGCTCACGGCTTCTATCCTTTATAATAAACCTATTTTTAAAATATGCTTACTTATAGTAAAAAATGTAAGATTTGTATTTTATGCTTCTAGGTGTCAAATATAGTAAATATTCACCCAAAATAGAGAAGAGGAACTAGAAAATTCATTTGAGAGTAGAGACAAGGAGGGGTGCCTTTTAACTAGGTATACAAACTTCCCTATCAATTCCTTATTTTCCAAATTAAAATTAAAATTAGCACATTACCAAAGATGAGTTGAGAACTAGACCATCTGTTTTCAGGGAAGGGAAACATGTTTATTGATACAGTTTTCACTAGGCATGCTTTAAAACACATTTGTTCCTTCAACACTTAAACCTTCCATGATGTGCAAAAGTAAGTCAATTTGGTTCCCAAATGTGGGTCTTTGAAAGTTTACAAATAACAGGACTTGTTTGGCTTGGGGAACAGGAGACTGGCAAGTCTGGCATTTAGAGGCCAGGCCTACTGAGGGTTTCTTGCAAACCTTCTTGACAAAAGACATCAAAAGACCTCATGTGGGAGATCCGCCCCCCAAGAGGGCTAAGTCTCAAGCAGTTTGACAGCCCCCATTAATTAACTCATGAGGGTTCTAGTCTCATTCTGTTGCTGTGACAAACACAACCAAAAGCAACTTGGGGAAGGAAGGGGTTTATTTGACTCACAGTTGTAGTCCAGCAAGGGAAGCTAAGCCAGGAACTCAAGGCAGGAAGTAAAGCAGAGACCAAAGAAGAAGGTGCTTATTGGCATATTCCTCTGCACTTGTTCATCTTGCTTTCTCATAGAAATCAGGACCACCATACCTGGAGAAGCAGCACCCACAGTGGGCTAGGTCTTCCCACATGAACCAATAACCATGAAAATAATGAATCAAAGATTTGCACACAGACCTCTATCGGATGGAGGCACTCCCCAGTTGAGGTTTCCTCTTTCCAGGTGACTAATTCATAGGAACTACCCAGTGGTCCCTAGGTTTCCAGCACTACTCAGCACAGACCCACTGCAGATTTTGATGTTGCTACAACAGAAAACTGCAGACAGTTCCTAATGATGACTCCATTTTTGTTCCCACTATACCATCTCGTCTTCAAAATCATGAAGGATGCATGGATAAGCAGGTATTTTTCCAAAGTGCAGAAACACATGATCTTTCTTTTACCTTCTGGAGGTGGCTCTTCTCATGTAAAAACCTCAGAAGTGTAAACGTATTAAACATGATGTGTACTAGCTTTTAGAGAATAACTGCCCCCCCCCCAAAAAAATTCAAAAGCATCATCATAAATCTTTCATTTCTGTCTAAACAGACTTGCTAAGTCCTCCTGCAAGAGACCCTCCCCCAACCCAGCTCCACTCCCTGAGGATTCCACCTCTTGGTGAGGCCCCAGAGTCCCCTTAACTCTTTCCTGCCTAGCCTCTCACTCAGCCTTCCCTGCTAGCCCATCCCCATCCTTTTCTGTCGGTCACCAACCTGCAGCTACCCTGTCTACCGGAGACCCCCAGTGGCCACATCTGGGACCCAGGTACACAATTTTCACCGCCCTCCCTGGCCTCCATTCTCCTCTCCATAGTTACTCTTACTCCCGTAGCAGCGACCTTCGGGACTTCCTCCCGCCCTAACTGGGCTCCCTGAAAACTCCATCTTTGGTGCAATCTGTCACCCCTAGCTCTTTCCCACTGTCGGCTCTCTGTCTTTGCTCCTAACCCATCGCACTCCTTTGTGTCCTTCACCAACCCATGAAGACACCCACAGCCACCACACTTGCCTAAGATCCAGAGTGGACAACAGCAGCCAAAGAAGAGAACAATCACCCAACAAAGGCAAGACCAAACAGCTATATCACAGACCACCTCCCACCTCCGACATCATAACTCCAGATGTTTAGATCCAAGTACCAAAGCACAAACATGAACACCCAAGACAGTATGCCTCCTCCAGAAGTCAGTAACCATATTGTAACAGGCCCTGAGTTCAGTTTAGCTGAAGCACATAAAAACCTCAAAATGGCAATTATGAGTATGTCCAAATCCCTTAAAGAGGGCATGAATGGATGCCTTAATGAAGACTGTATACACACAAACAGCTGAATGAATAAAAACATTTCAAGACATGAAAACAGAAATAGAAAATATGTCACTAAAGAAAATCCAAATTGAAATGAAAAATTTAGGATGTGAAACAAACAAAAAAAAACCGCATAGATATTCCTTCTAAGGTGAAGAATAAGTTGTTGCTCTCCCCATGAAATGGAACTCATACCTGGCACTGCTAAAGTGGCCAAGAACCTAGAACAAGAACAAGTAACGGCCAAGGGGAAAACCCACTAGTATTATTCTGCTAAAGAAACAGCAATAAAATGACTCCTAATGATATACACTATACCTACACAAAAGCTCCTCGCTGGACCATGTCAGTGAAGGTTTCCCTGTGGATGGGAACAGTTGGGAACTAACACAGAGGTCCACAACAAGGTGCTAAGAGAGAGGTTCTGAAGCACCCAGTCCTGAATGAGGTGCCATTATCAAGCCTCTCCACACAGAGCTCAGAGAGATTTTAAGAGCCTGGGGGATGAATGGCCTCAAGGAAACTGTCTTCTAAACACAACAGGCTTGATACACCTATGGTCTCAGACTGTGGCAGCATATACAAGTTGAAGCACTAAAAGTGTGAAGTGGACACTGTGTCTCACCCCTAACCAGGAAGCTTCCGGCAATTGATACCCACAGGCTAAGGCAAATCTGTTTTCTTCTGTGAAGTCTCACTGGGTATATCAGTCACATCTCCAGGGCAGGTCCCATGCCCAGAAGGCCAACACAACACAAATTCAATGGTGTATTTGTGAACTTTCTGCTTCCTTTTGCTTCATCATTTTCGTTTTGTCTCATTGGTCTTTTAATTGTTTTGATTTTTGTTTTTGTGGGTTCGGGGGCTTTTGCTTTTGTTACTTGTTCTTTGTTTTTGAGAAAGAAAAAGACATAAAGTTGGGGGTAGGTAGGAAAGTGGGCAGGGGAAATTAGTGAAGGGAAAAAACATAATCAAAATATATTGTAAGAAAAAATTGAGCAAATATTATAGAGTACTCATTTTCAAACTGAGCTGTAAAAATGGAAAATATAACTCTAATCATCCTTTAAACAATCAATAATGGCCAAAAATAGAATTTTAAGAATATACTATTATATAATAGCTTCAAAGAAAAAAATCACAGAGGTGGTAATATAAATCCTCCATTTGATTTGTAAAATCCCTTAGCTTCTCCTTCATTCCTTTTGGTCCAAGGTATTTGAATTTGCTAGTTGAGGAGAGTGACTCAGAAATTCATTATCTCTTAAAATACAAATATTTGACATCTGTTATTTCATTCCCAATTTAAAGAAATGGCAGGATAATTCTCAGTGACAGCTTAATATAATTAAAAATAATTTTTAAAATTTATGAACTCCACAATAGTGTAGTACATTGATTTATTAGTTTTTTGTATAAAGCAAAATCAAAACATTCTTAGAAGTCAACCACTACCTGGTTGTACTGAAATGGTGGATTGTACAAAAACTAATTAGGCTCAAGGCCATCTGACACACAGGTTTGGGTGGGGTGTTTGTCAGCAGTGCTGTTGGGGAGCTAAGTTTATCAGGATGTGGCCCTGCTAAATTCAATTGGCTTTGCAAATCCATGCAAACAAAGGCAGCTAACTATTGTCGCAAGTCTTTTTCCTCATTCCATTGTAAACCACAGAAGGCTAAATAAACCTACTAACTTCTGCGTCTTAGTCAAAATACTACAGACCCTCTCCACTTCATTCCAAGAGGGCAGGGCAGTCAGGCTTCCCACCACAATCCCTTACTCACTTTAGTCTTTCACTTCTAGTCCTGGTTTTTTTTTCCCCTTGGTCTAAGCATATATTGGAGGAAACGGGTAACTTCCTGTAAAAATTTGCTATGTTCTAATGGTTCTGATTACTTGTTTCTGAACTAGGAAATAAAAGATGTTCAAAGATTCATAAAATCCCCAGAAGATATGGAACAGCATTATGTAAGATTGTTTTTAGCTACTTCATCTCTATATTACAGTGAACAATGCAGTGTCCAGTTTATCTTAAGCTAGATACCACTAATACATTCCCAACTGCCCTTAACGGGTATGTATATATTTATATAACAGTTAACAGAGACTTTAATTGCCTTTACAATGACTCTTTGACTATTTTTTAAATGAAAGATAAGCTGATTCCCTTTGATCCTGGTGCTTTTCATGGCAAGCTCAAAGCTTCACTATGCCAATACTGTACCACTCTAACAAGAAGCAAAGCAGTAGTATTAAATATCCACAAAAGTTGCAGGATATATCTGAAGCAGTCTTGCATATGGCAGAAGCTAGTGTCCCCAGATGCAAAGAGGTCTACCGTGTGCATATGACCACCTAGCCACAACCATATCCTGATTTGGTGGGCATATTCCCATTACTAGCATAACTATTGATTAATTTATGAAAACTCAAGTTAGTGTAATTTGCTGTCCTTTCAACATTCAATTATTACTATTCATGACTGGATGGACAGACACTATATTATTAAAACTAATTTCAAATACTTAAAGAAGTAATAACAGTTG